AATAGCTCTTGAAGTCAAAACCTCGAAACCTTCATAGTAAACGACACTTCGTTATAAATCGCGTTATATAAAACTGTCGAATTATCTTGTCATTCGTAACGATAAGAATGAGAAATACAAATCGCAAATCTACTGATTATCGGAAGTTGTGTAACGATGTCTCGTAGGATCATTTTCAAGGCAAATTTTTGGTAGTACATAATTAACGGTAAAACATTTATCCGCTATGTCGATCATTTCCATTCTATTTTTAGATCATCGAAAAATTTTCCCGCCAAATTTGATCCAAAGATCCGGACTTCGATAACTCATTTTAATACTATATTAACAGGTTATAAAATTTATACAAAATAATCTTTATACTTTATAGATTAATATTTTACAAAAATCTCATTTTTGGTTTGGGGGACCTCGGAACCTCATTTTCAAGGCAAAGACCCCATATACAGGAGTATAAATTTTATATTAGAGATTTTTTTAGAAGTTTATAAAAATTTTTGTGCACATTTTTATATATAAAGTTTTTTGAAAATAAAATTAAAAGCCGGGTTGCCGGGTCATTTTTCAAATTTTATGTTATGAGAACCCTTGGAATAGTTTTCTTGTCATTGTTTTAAGAATTCTTGGGCTTGTTGGCAAGTAGTTAGCTCTTCTTGGGTTAGGGTTTTAATACGAGGAGTTTCGCGTAATCTTTTTAAGTTGCCGGTGAAAAGGCGATAATCCTTTTTTTGCTTTTTTTCTGTTTGTAAGAAAGTTTGAATTTCTTTTAGGATTTCTTGACGAATAGTTGTCATAGATGCGAAATTCAATGAACTGATATTATCTGATATAGTTCCCATTCTGATAAACTTTTTTATTATTAATTATATGCATCCATAATTAAAATAAAAAATATTTATCGATTTTAGACAGATATTTGTTGAGTTATTCTTGTTCAAAGTTTGTAAACACTTAGCCGCGATATTTGTTTTGATAGTCATCTAAATACTCTGAACGAGGATAACTTGATAACTATATAACAAAATCGATAAAAAATTTTTTTATTTTAGTTCCATTGATTCATGTAATTAAAATAAAAAAATTTCATCGATTTTTATTGAGTCATCTTTGTTCAAAGTTTGGCCACAGTCTGTTTTGATAATCGACCAAATTTTCCTTGAACTTTGAACGAAAAACTCGATAATTACCTATCAAAATTGATAACAATTTTATAAAAACTTTATTTATTTTGATAGTTATTTATCGAGTTATCCAAAGTTCAAAGAAAATTTAGACGATTATCAAAAAGACCACGGCTAAGTTTCAAAAACTTTAAACAAAGGTAACGATAAATATCTAAAATCGATACAAAATTTTTCTATT